GGAGGAAAAAATTCAACGAGCATAAATTCCGCTATCCCACTTTATTAACTTAGCCCCGGCATGAAACATATATGCCGAGACAGCGACTATGAAGATCAAACCTCCGGGCCCGGGTATTGCCGTATCAACTGTGAGAAGGTTGAAGGTCGGAACGTTGCGCGTCGACGGCCGGGGCGTAACGGCCCGGCCCTCTGTCAGAGGCAATGTTGGCCTCAACCTCTCTAGGTTGTGGTCGGCCAGGTTTTCCTGACAGAGGAAGGTGTTTGGTCGACGGGGATCTCTTTCCGGAACCCGATAGAGCCCATCGGTTCAGAGCGTGGTGGTCGGGGCCGATCTCATGCTGGAGTTCTACATGGAACTCCACAAAAAAGCTTCACCTACAGCTGATCTTCCTGGCGTCTGAGTGTTGTGGTAGGCTGGTAGCTCGTCGCCTCCCTCGTCCTAGCTTTTTTTTAGGCTTGGCTGGTCCTTCGATTTTTTTTTTTAACTTTGTAATCGGCTGGGGTTGAAGCGACTGTAAAAGTAGTAGTGTAGGGATTTCTATTCGATCTTTTATTCTGCGAAATACAATCTTCGCATATTATTCGCCTAGTTAGTGCATAATAAGAAAACGAAACTATTTTTAGAAATTTTCTATTCTGCGACACACATTGCGAAACACTCGTGTAGTATAAATGAAAAAATTTATTTATTTTTTCTTTTTGAAATTTTCTATTCTGCGAAATACAAACGTCGCGTATTATTCGCCTAATGGTTGCATAATAATTTTTTTTTTTAGAATTTAATTTTTTGAAAATTCTTTTTTAGGCGAAATGAACCTGAGACTATTAGTCGAAAATATTACGCATAATAAACGCATAACACGTAGTTTAGGCTAATGAACCTGCGACATTTAGTCAAAATACAAACGTCGACTAAACAATTAGTCGAAACAAATTCGCATACAAACCGCACAACATTCGTAGTATAATCGAAGAGTTTATTTAAACAAAAATTGTTTTTGGAGATTTTCTATTCTGCGACACACATAATTGCGACAAATAAACGTCGCATAATGCATTCGCATGTCAACTGGAGGATATTCGCATACCCACTTTTTGTATAAAATAATTATATTAAACAATTATTTTGGTCTGATTCTTTATGCGACCGTCTCAC